GGGCGCCGACCAAGGGGAAGGGGGGATCACCGGGAGCCGGGGCCAGGGCGATGGCCGGCGCCTGGATGAAGCAGGCGCCCGGCGGCGCCCGGAGATGAAAGGGGCGCCGCCGCCGGCCCCGGTCCCCATCCCTTCCGCTGGGGGGTGGGGGGCATGGCACAAGCAAGGATATATATTGGCACTCGTCTTCGGAGCGAAGGAGGAAGCCAACTTCACGAATGAGGCTGGCCTCGAATTTGGTGAGCCGTGGCGCGGGGGAGCTCGCGGAGGCGCTGGCCATGGCGGGGTGGCACACGCGCGGGAACGCCAGGGAAGGGGCAAGACCAAAGGGGGCGAGCGGAGGGGCGCGAGCGCGGTCGGGGAGGGGGAGGGGGGGAGGGGGGAGGGAAGGTAGGGGGAGGAGCGGGATGGTCCTCTCGGTCTGGGCCTTCGCCCTCCGGGGTGGAGGGACATCAATGGGCGGTTCTCGCAGGGCTCGGCCCGGGGAGGGGGGGGGCGGTCGGATGCCCCCTCGGTGTCTATGGCGGCGGCCGATCTCCGGCGCCTGGGGGAGATGGGCCGGCCGGGCGGGCGCGGGAGTTGGGGACTTGCCCCAGCCATAAGCTCCTGGCAGACCTGCGCCTTGCCCGGCCCGGAGCCCAAAGGCGCTGGCGGGAGAGCTGCACACACAAAAGCCGGCTGGGAAGCCGGCACGGGGGCCGGCGGCGGGGGGGGGGGGGGGGGCGAGGGCCGGGAAAATGGCCCCCGCTGGCCAAGCCGAGACCGCTAGAGCGCCCGCACGCCGCAGCCGGCCCGCCGGGCATCTGTCTCACCCCGTCCCCCGGCGGCGAGGACCGAGGGGCGGGCGGGCGGGCGGGCGGGCGGGGGGGCCAGCAAGGAAGCCTCGGGCCCATATGCGCGCGGACGGGGCTCGCCCGTGTCCACGCCCCCCCCCCCCCCCCCCGCAGTCCGGCCAGTGTGTTTCACCGGGGCGACCCGGGGCCTCGCCGGTCCGCCTCCTGGCTGTGGCGTGCGCCCCCCACCCCGCGCTCGCCTGGCGGCGGTTAGAAGACGCCACCGGACGGGCAGGACGCGGCCCATTTCGCGTGCTTTTCAGCCGCCAGGAGCCCCACCCAGGGTGCCCACAGAGCACGCGCCGCCCGCGTAAATCGGCCCACCACACGCACGCATGAATCAGCGGAGATCCCTGGATTTAGGAAAGACCTCGCTCGCCGGTAACGAAGGCGGCCCCGCCGGGGGGGGGAGGTCGCCGCCGGTGTGTTTCTGCCCCCCCCCCCCCCCCCTGCCACCGCCGGGTGGGCAGGAGTCCGCGATCCGACCGGCCCTCGCGGAGCGCCGCCCGGGTGGGACACCATGAGGGGGAGGGGGGGGGGGGGAATAACAAATCCAAAGGCCCATCATGCCAGCTCCCCGCGTCGGGAGGGCAGGAAGAAGAAGGGCAAGAAGAAGCGAGGTGCCAAGGGGAAGGTCCCCTCTTCCCGCCACCGCCGGGCCGGGGGAACAACGGAATGCAGCGCGTCCGGCAGGCTGGCGCCCGGCGGAATTCGCCCCCCGATCCCGAGGGGCCGGCATGTGCCGCGGGGCCGAGCCCTGCCCCCGCCCGGCCGGGCGCCGGCGCGGCCCGCGGAGCGCGGCGCATCACGCCGGTACACGTGCTTGTCGAGGGCGGGACTGCCGATGCTCTTCTTCGGCCGGGGCTCCTCCGTGGTCCCGGCGCTCGCGCGCCCCGTCCGTCTTGCCACGGCCAGCCGTCCGCTGCAGGAAGGAGCCAGGGGGGGGGGGGGGGGGAACCGAATGCGCGGGCCAAATTTCAGGATGCTCGACCCCCGGGCCCGGGCTGCTGCCGGGCCGGTGGACAGAGCACCCTCCCCCGCCCAGCCCTCGCCTTCACTTGCCTGCTTTTCTGCGTTCCCCCCCCCCTCCTCCTCTCCTCGCCCGAGCCATGTCTGCCCCGACTCCCGCCGCGCGCGCCGCGACCACCGCCGTCGCCGCCTATCGGTCGATCACCAACCTCACCAAGAAGGTGCGCGCCAGCCGGGTGGGGGGTATGATACCCGGGCGTGGGATCTGGCCGCCTGATGGCCTATATTGACACTCGCCGCCTGCTCGCCGACCTCTGTCCTCGCCCCCCCCCCCCCTCCCCCCCGGCCGACAACTGCCCAGACCCTGCCGAAGGCCAACCACGACGCGGTGCGGACGATGCTCCGGGCGCAGATCGCCGCCGGGCCCCGGCTGGACGGCCGCCTGCCGGAGCCGGGCAAGCCCTTTGTCTTTGCCACGTCCTACCGCGCCGGGGCCAACGACATCCAGGACCTGGCGGTGTATCTGGACTCGGTGTACCACCGGGATCGCCTGGTCACCCTCTACAACACGCCCATCGTGTCGGAGGATATGATGGTCGAGCGGACGGCCGCCCGTGTGGGGCTCTCCCTGCCGCGCCTGACCGGCGAGAACCTGCGCGAGGACCTGACGCACTTCCACAACAAGGGGCAAACCGCCGCCGAGATGGCCGCCATGGCGGAGGACTTCTCCGAGATGGTCAAGAACTGAGCCCGTCTGGCCTGCCTCCTCCGCGTGTCCCCCCGCCCCGGTGGTCTCCTCTGCTTTGTAGGGACAAGAGTTGCCACCGGAAAGGGGAAGCCCCCCACCCCATCCAATAGACGTCCAACCTCCTGTGCCCCGCCTCCCCGTCCCCCCTGCACAGCTTCAGGTGTGTGTGTGTGTGCCTCCGGTGCGCCACTGCCGTGAGCTTCGGCCAGGGCCGGACGGCACACGCATGCGCACATGCGCCTCCATGTCCTCCGGCCTCCCCCCGGGCTCCATCTCGCCAGCCTGCCCGTTGGATGGCCCTGCGTGGGTGTATTAGACGACGCCGCCGCCCGGCGCCGCGGCCACTGGACCCACGTGCGATCGCAGGGCGGCCGCCAGGCGGACGAAGGCCTGCCCGGCGGAGCAGGCCCTGTGGCCGCCGGCCCGCAGGCACCGGAGCACGTCCTCCAAGGCCCGGCGCAGTGCCGGCGGCCAGGGGGCATCCAGGCGAATGAGGGCCCGGTCGGGGCCGGACCGGCCGGCCGCCGATCCTGCCCCGTCCAGCATCTGGCCCAGCTGCTGGGTGTCGACGGCCGGCGGGCTGAGGGTCACGCTCGCTAGCAGGCTGGCCAGGTGGGCCAGCTCCCGGGCGATCTCGGCCTCGGGGGCCGGCGCAACGCCCGGAGCCGCCTCCTCGCGCGTGTCGCGCTTCGGGGTGGGGCACACCTCCGGCCAGCCCCCCTGCAGCGGACTCCGGAAGAGCGGCATCGCCTCGGCGTCGTTGAGGTAGACGCTGAGCCGGCGGCCCGGGCCCCAGGCCACCTGACCATCCCGGCCGGCGCATCGGCGTCCGCGCCGAGGGAAGACCCCGCCACCGGGCCCGGGTTGCGTCAGTGTCAATGCCGGGGGCGTGTGGTGCGAGGCAACTTGGCGGGCAGGTGCGCACGAGAAATTGGCTGGGCTTGAAGTCGTGCTGGAGGAGGGCCCCGCGCAGGGGCGACCGCTCGACCATGCCAACCCCCAAGACCGGGTGCTCGGGGCAGATGGCGGCCACGTCGTCGTGGAGAAAGGCGTGCAGTCGCAGCAGCTGCAGAGCCAGGGACATGCGGGCGGCCACGTCCAGGTGAATGCCCTGCCATCGCGCGACATGGGCAGACGCGGGGGGGGGGAGCCGGCCGGGACCGAGGGGGAGCCGGGCGGTCCGAAAGTCGGTGCCACCGCGAGGCGACGTGACACGGGCACCGGTCACGACGAGGCCGTGGCGCGGGGCAAAGGCAATGCGTCAGCGACAAAGTGCGGCGGGCAGCCGCGCACCAGCCCGGCAGCGTGTATGCATGCGTGTCTGTGCCTCCGGGCCTGTACCTCCAGAATGGCCGTAGATTCGAGGTTGTCCAGGGACCCGAGTTCGGCGAAAGGAGCCACCGCGGCTTTGAGGTCCCCGGGGCGGGCCCCCTGCAAGTGGATTGAGTCAGGCCGTGAGCATGCGCACGCGCATGTGCGAGTGTGTGCGTGTGGGGGCATGAGAGAGAAAGAAAACAGGGGAGAGGAGGGATCATGGAGAGCCCGGGTGTAGGCATGCGTGGCAGTAGGGCCGTGCCCGATGCGACGAGATGGCTGCACAGGCGAAAGAGCCGTACGCACCGTACGCCGGGCCTCGACGAGCTTGCGACCCAGCTCCGGCGTGCCGTACCCGGTGAAGCCCTCCCAGCGTGGACACGCGGCCAACAGGGGCCAGACGTTCGGATGTCCGGCGAGGGCACTGGTGTCGATGTGCCCAGTCGGATATGCATACACACACACACACAGGCACACACACACACACACCCACGACCACACATATGGCCGCGCGCATGTATCGCAGGGGGCGCGCGCCGGCGGCGGAAAGTGTTAGGGTCCAATTGCATGGCCGAGCAGGCCGAGAGGCGTGTTCCCAGGCTGCCCTGCCGTCGGCCTGGCCGCCTTTTTGAGCCTTCCCCCCGGGAAGGGGGGGGGGGGGAGGCGGGGGGCCAAATGAGGAAGAGCGCACATTAGTCGGGAGATGCCGCTGGAAAAGTCGCCGATGAGATTTTCCCGGCGGAGGGCCAGCACCGCCACCGGGACCCGGCGCCCGGAGCCGCGATCCAGCCAAGTGCTTCGATGGATGGATTTGACGGTGCCCTGGGCCACTGGCGGGTCGGCTCGCCAGTCACCCGCCGGCAGACCCTGGCGCATGTGGTCACAGGAGCTTGGGCCAGTGCGAAGCAGGGGGGCGGGAGCCACCGCGAACGGCGGCCATGCGTGCTTGAGAGATCAGTCTTCCGGCTTCAGGCGGGCGGGCTGGCGGCAAAGGGGACCGAAGAGGCAGCCGCACCCGACAGCTCTCCCGGCCGGCCGGTACAGGGGCTGGCCTTCGAAGGCCACCCACCAGCGCAGGGCCAGCGGGAGGACCTCCACCGGGACGCTCTCCACCGGGAGACTCCCCCCGGCCACGGCACCGGTCCAGCACTCTTCCAGCAGGGGGACATCCTGCAGGGCGTCCAGCATTTCGGCGCACCGGGCCGCGCCCCGGCCGGACCCCGGCAAGCGCACCGACCTCGGGTCCGGCAGCGGCGGCTCGGCCTCCTCGGCGGCGGCGGCGGCGGCGGCTGCGCGGCGCTCGGCGGCCCAGGTGCCTCGCCGCCCCGCCAGCAGGTCCAGCCCTACGGACAGTCCCCCGAGAGCCAGCATGACCAGCATCAGCAGGGTGACCAGGCGCCCGGAGGAGAAGCGCCGCTTGGCGCGGTAGGCCCGGAGCTCCCGGTATAGTCGATCGGACATGGGCAGACCATTACCCGGCTCGAAAGGCAGCTGTCAAGAGGGAGGCCGTGGGGGCTCAGGCGACGGTGGAATCGGGACACGGCCGGCCGGGTCCGCGGAAAGGCGAGCAAGGGAAGCGAGGTGCAGGGGGGGGGGGGGGGG